GCAAACTCAGCCATGGATAAGTGTTGATCCCACGAACCCTTCCAATCTAGAACACAAGCCCTCAACATGTCCTCAAGTATCTGAATAGTTCTCTCAGATTGCCCATCAGTCTAAGGATGGAAAGCCGTGCTGAAATTTAATTGAGTACCAAGTGCCTGCTGCAAGCTTGTCCAGAAATGAGATAGAAATCTAGTATCTCTATCCGACACAATAGACACAGGGACTCCATGCAGCTTGACTATCTCATCCATGTACATATTGGCAAGCTTCTCAATGGAAGTGCCAGTCTTGTAGGGTAAGAAGTGAGTTGATTTGGTCAATCGATCAACGATGACCCATATGGAATCATTACCCTTTAAGGTTCGTGGTAAGCCAGTCACAAAGTCCATGGTGATGTTTTCCCACTTCCACTGGGGAATAGGTAAAGGCTGCAATTTCCCAGGAAGTCTTTGGTGTTCGGCCTTGACTTTTTGGCAAGTCAGGCATTGTGAGACAAATCTAGCTATCTCTCTCTTCATGTTCCGCCATCAAAATGTACTACACAAATCACAATACATCTTGGTGCCATCTGGGTGAATTGTATAGCTAGTATAATAGGCATCTCCCATAATCTCACGCCTTAAAGCATGATCTCTTAGTACACACAACCTGTCACCAAACCACAGAGTCTCATCATCAAAAATTCTGAATTCTTGCATGTGGGGTTCCCCAACTCTTATTTTTTTCCTTCATCTTCTGTAAGAAGGGATCTTTTTGTTGGCCAAGTTTAATTCTATCTATTAATGCTGGTTGTGCACTAAGAGTAGCTAGATAAGCCGTAGTACTATCCACTCTCAACTCCACATCCAGTTTTACAAGATCCTCAAGTAACTCCTTTTGAGTGGCAAGGATGCTAGAGGCAGCGCCAGAGGACTTCCTACTCAACGCATCTGCTACTTTGTTAGCTTTGCTCGAATGGTAGCTAATGGTCAAGTCATAGTCCTTTAAAAGTTCAAGCCATCACCTCTGCCTCATATTAAGCTCCTTTTGAGTGAAAATATACTTAAGGCTCTTGTGATCGATGAAGATTTCACAAGTCTCACCATACAGATAATGCCTCTAGATCTTGAGTGCAAATATCACAGCTGCCAATTCCAGATCATGGGTAGGGTAATTTTCTTCATAAGGCTTTAACTGCCGAGAAGCATATGCAATAATCCTATCTTTTTGCATCAAGACACATCCCAAACCCTTTTTAGAGGTATCACTATATATAGTGAATCCTTCCCCATTGATTGGGAGTGCAAGTATAGGAGTAGTG